GCCGGGTCCGGGCTGTCGCTTCGCGTGTCGGTGGCACAGGAGGCGACGTAGTGCTGCACGAGGCTGACCACGTCCGGGAAGGCCAGGATGCGCGGCCTGGACAGGCAGTTGGAGTCCAGGCGGAAGCTGGAGTCGGCGTACTCAATGCGCACGTTGGTGGGGCCGCGGGTGGTTTTGACGGACAGTGTGAACAGGTAGCTGGGGTGGGTGCTGTCCCGGACGAGGAACGTGCCCTCGGGCATCTTCTGCAGGTGTTGCCGGGCCTCGCTGGCCGTGATGGAGCCCCAGTACCAGCCTAGGCAAGCGGAGAGGGGCCGAGAGGTTGGTCACAGTGATCTGGGGGCACCAAACCAGGGCGGGACTCTGTCTCCCCTTTCATGCTTCCCTCGGGAGGGCTGTACCTCCCCCACCAGACTCTCCTGGGCTGGGCTCTGCCTCTCCCATTCCGCTTCCGCCAGTGCTAAGCTGCCCCTTTCAGCTGAGCCAGGAAAAAGCCTGCCCACTCCAGACTCACCCGACTCCCGCAGGTAGGAGAAGGTCTTGGCTATGCACAGCAGGTCTTCCTCGGGGTCTAGCACCTTGGGCTCGCTCTCGGGCTGGGCAGGGGCCTCCTCTGCCACCTCCTCCGGGAAGGGCCCGGCAGGCAACGGCTGCATAACTGGCTCAGGCTGGGCCCACCGGGGCCGCTGCCCGATCCGCTCCGGAGCCAGCAAAGGACAAGGTCTAGAAGGGAGGGGCGGGCAGTGAGTGGAGGCCCTGGGCTCTCCCCACCTCCAACGATCCCGTGCCCCAGGCTGGGCACACGACCCTGTCCGGTCCATCGCACTGTGACCCTGAGCTTCCCCTCTGCCCAGCCCTGGGCTCCATGAGTCTAGTACCCACTCCCACTATCATCACAAAATCCCCCCTGATTGCTTCCCCTGCACGTGGGTTCTCTGGAAAGGCGTCCCCGCTCTCCTGCTTTTGTTGGACAGGAAGTCGCGCGCTCTCTCTGTGTGGCCCAATCAAAGCCACACGCCATTCCCTGTGCGCATTTCTAACTCCCAGTGGCCAGTTGGGTCCCCACCGCACTGACCGGATTCAGGGCAAAGACCCCTCACAGTGGTGTCCTCCTGGCTGAGCCACGGGAGGGACCTAGGTCCACACTGGGCATCGTCCTCTCCTGCTCCCTGCTCCTCCCGGCTGAGGGTCCAGCGGGCAGTGGTCTCCAAGGCTCTGGCAAGTCCCGCCTCCCATCAACATGAGCTCCTGGCAGAGGGCAGGGTCGGCATGCCCCCTTCTGGTCCCACCCTGGCAGCCAGCCCCACCAGGCCCTGCGATTCTACGCAACCCTTGCTCTTGGCTAGAACCGTTCCCGCACCCGCCACGAAGGGCCCTCGCGCCCAGACCGATTCTCTGGCCACACCATACCCTCGGCTGGCCAGCGGGTCGCCGAGCTGGCCCAGATCTGAGCAGTAGCTCCCCTGGAGGGGAAGCCCACCCAGCATGATGCCCGGCCTTCCCGGGAGTGAGGGGTACGGCCCTGGGTCCCGAGGAAGGGACAGCTGGTCCTCCCTCACTGCTCACAAACTGCACCCTTAGGCCTCAGCGCTGGGTCTGGTCCCCGGCTGGTCCAAGATAACCAAACCACGGGCCCGACCCTCGGGGAGAACTTATAACCGAGTCATAAAGCCCAGGGTGTCTCGGGGAGTCAGGATCTCCCTGCGCCTGAGCCGCGCCCGCCAGGCCACAGGAAGGAGTAGGGGAAGGCCCTGCAGGCAGAGGTGACAGCAGGGGAAGCGGTGCCAGATGCTGCCCGGGTGGCAGGAAGAGGGGGCAGGAGCCAGCCGCCGGCCGGCAGAGGAACATGTCCGACAATGAAGGTTAGAGGTGACCCTTCAGAAACTAACAAACAAGGGCCCCTAAGCACCCACGAGCAGAGGGAGCCACGCCGCCCTGCCACACCCCAGCCTGCCTGATACTTTCCACCCCCCTCTGGCTGCACCCTGGGGACCCGGGGTCCCACTCAGGGAGCCGGAGGTCGCGTTCCAAGGCCCTGGCTGGTGGCCTGCCCGCTGGGCCTCCGCGCTCAGCTCAGGCCCAGGAATCTTCCAGCACAGTGGGCGGCTAGCCAGCCAGGCTGGAGCCTCTGGGGGCGGCCGCGTCTAGACAACGTAGCAGGCGCATGTGGGTGTGGGCACGGCTGTGTTGGGCCCACAAGTTTCTGGCGAGTGACTGTGTGTCTGGGGAGGGGTGTGTCCATGGCTGTGGCATCGGCATGGCGGGGGTGGTGGCCGGTGTATTCCAGGTGTGGGCGGCCTATCCATGTGCCCGCTGTGGAGCCCACCCGGCCCGGGAGTCCCGCCTGGGGACACATGCCCATGGGGCAAACAGCCCTGAGGGTGGAACCCTCCAAAAAGCGGGCAGCCCAAGCCTACAGTTGGGAATTCCTTCTCCTCCCCAGGAGGTCACTGGCTGTGGCTGTGTGTGTGTGTGTGTGTGTGTCTTCAAGTCTTGCTCCCACCTCTGGCCCTGAGTCAGCTGAAGCAAAGTGAAAGAGAGTGTGGGACCCTAGAACTGGGGGGAGCCGAGGAAGGCAGGGTGGGGGGCGGCGTGGTGTCCAGGAGTCCCAGAATTCGGGGGGGGGGGGGGGGGCGGGGGGGCCGGGGGGGGGGGGGGGGGGTGCTGGAGACAAGCAGGGGCAATGGAGAAGCACATTTTTCCTGGCACCTCCAGGTTCCTCCTGGAGACAGGACCTCCCTCTCCGCTCCGGGCAAGGGCAAGGGCACCACCCAGTTCTGACACCAGCACCCCGGGGCCACCGGCTCGCCCCGCGGCTCTCTGAGCTGCCGGTCAGTCTGGGGAGCGGCAGACCCCTGGCTGAGGGTGATGCTGAGGGTCTGGGGTTGGGAAGGAATGGCAGGAATGTGCCAGGAATGCTCCGCCCAGGCCAAGACTGTCTTATCGCCCCTACCGCCCCCGCGAGTCTTTGGGAAACTTGGAGAAGGGAGGCAGGATCCTAGCCTGGGCTGTGAGGAGGGGTGAAGCAATTGTGGGGGAGCCCCAGACAGGACGAGGCCAAACCCTTCCTCCCAAGAGCTGCTGGTTGGCAGATGCAAGCTTGAGAGCCACGGATCTCAGGCTGCTGCCCAAGAAGAGCCTACTGCTAGCCCGTGGCAGGAGCCGGCCGGCCGGACAGAGCGGGGCGGGCTGGCCC